CATTCTGGGAAGTAGACTTGGCTAGTGGAGTCCTCCATGACTTTAAAGTTTTTTCTACCTCCAACCATTTCAAGTAACAATATTCCAAAACTATAGACATCCGACTTATAGGAGACATTGCCGAAGTTCCTTGAAAAGATTTCGGGTGCAATGTAGCCCATGGTCCCCCTGGCTGTAGTCATCGATATTGCGCTTTGACCCTTGATGATAAGAAATTTTGCAAAGAACCATTTGGTAAGTATTCGTAAACAAGAGCATGAATAAATCCGTCGGCGCAAATTCCAACCAAGCGAACCACATTGACATGGTGGATTTGACACATTGTCCCCACTTCGTTTATGAAATCTTCCCCATTTTCATTTGAATTGTTGAGCATTTTCACAGCAACAAGTAACTCGGAGGAAAGCTTTCCTTTAAACACTGTTCCGTAGGCACCTTGACCCAACTTTTCCTTGAATTGACTTGTTATCCTCTTAATATCAGCATAGGAATATCTACTTGGCTTCATCGCTCTGTATTCATCCAAAAATCTTTCAATTCTAAGCTGATTTTCTTTTTCCTTTTTGTTTGAGTTGTAGACATAGCAGATTGTCGTCCCCATCGCTATTAGAACTAAACAGAGTGCGGAAATACCTGCAAATATTTTCTTTTTGTGTCAAACGTTTTTTAAAGCATTTTTAGCCATTTTAAACTCTCTTCCAAACATATCCTTGATTAACTTCCTCCCCATTATATTCATAAAAGAAAGAAAAAGGAAGGAAAAAAAGAAATTAGATGAAATGAAGGTCTGCGGATATAGCTCACCTAATATCTTCAGATTTCGGTTTCTAAGATTACGACCTGTAAAAGTTGTTCATGAAATAAGGGCCGGCTTTCAAATCAATGAAATCCAAAATTATAGTTTGCATAGAATCTTCAATTAATCTTGAAATTATAGTTGGAAAGTAAACTTGGAGTGTAAAATACCTTTGCAATGTTCACATGATGGAATGGACCAATGCAATAATACTTCTCCCATCTCATCATATATATATGCAGGATCTGATGTGTAGTCATGCACCTTGATACAAGACACTAGGGGCATTTCATCAATGAAATAATAATCACCAAGGACAGCGTAAAAATGGTTACCAGAATTGTTGCCATGGCATGGGCTCAATCTCGCCAGAGGATCATTATAATTGGAACTGGAAGAATATTCATCTCTTACTGTTGACGGTGGACAACTGAATAAGGTTGCGTTGCCTAGGAATTCAAAGGGATAAGAACCATTACTGTAAAACAACTCCCTAGGAAAGCAACCATCATAAGCTCCTACTCTAATTGCATGAGATCTGTAGTTAATCTCAGTAACAATAAGCTTAGCTGACGACGATGGTATC